TTAAGTGGTAAGCACACAAGCGGCGAGCACACTTACCTTGGAGTTTGCATGTTTCTCCGTGTGCTTTACTGCCCCTGTATGTGGTAAGTCAAACATGAATAACAGTGTGATCTCCTCGGAGTCAGGGGTGGAGCCAAAGTGTGTGTTAACTGCAACTAATCATACTCATGTTAATTAATTCTTCAGCTAATTAATTTCTTCATTAATTGAAATAGTCTTTGTTCTATAATTCAGAAGCAGGAGGAAACCCCAAATCATTCCCACTTTTAATTTAAATATAATGGAATCACCTTAGAGTTAATGGGGTTACACAAAGCTGTTAATTTATGTTTTTTTTTTGTTTTCAAGGTTGGCATAGTAGAGGAATCCAATAGAAGATTTTATATATTTGAAATGTAATATAGTTGGCTTTAGTAGTTTAACATGTTTAACCATTTAACTGCTTTTTTGCACAAAAGTCCAGTGAGTGGATGTATAATAGTATAACTTTGCACTTTTTCATTTAATAAAGAATATTTTTAAGTCTCAGTGATGGGACAAGTAAGTCTTAAATTCAGCCCTTGATTAAAAGCAAATAATAATCAAAAAGCCAATGTGCAAAGTCTGATTCAAAAGAGGAAAGGTAGTGAGTTGGGCTGAGAGAATGTGGAGGCTCCTGAGAAGGACCAGACAAGATTTGTGTTTGAAAGAACATGTCATGTGATGTACTGTACAAGGTGGCAAAGAGATGCATGATGGGATTGCTTCCTTATGAAATGGGCCGCTGTCTGTAATCTTTCATTTCCTTAAGTGGAGTGCGGCCGGTGCCCTACTGTAACAGACAGATTAGTTAATTGGTCACCGCTGCCCCTCAGAAGCAGCTGTATTTCACCGACAGACAGGATGCACTACAGGCCGGTCACCTGCTGTCAATACACTCTGCAGACCAAAGAACTATGTGAGACCAGCAAGCACAATGTGTGATGCTTACAGTATGAAACCACCATTCATCAACCATCGGATCAATAAATGGACTCATGAAAGATCACCTAATGTACACTTGCATGGTCTTGTGTTTTAAAAACGTAGCTAAATGTATTTAACCATGAAATAATCATATTCATATTATTCTGAACCAGACGCTCACCCTTCAGCCAGGGACTACAGCTGCACAATTATGTGAGACTTAAGGCGCTGTCAAACTTGCGGTTCACTTTAACTGACCCTGACTGGTTCACTTGTGAAAAATGCTGTACAGAGCTGTTTCAAAAGATGTAAACTGACTTAAGTGTCTAGATAGATAGATAGACACCTCACTGATCCCCGTAGTAGAAATTCAGGTGTCCAGCAGCAGAAGACTTATCCAGGTTTGTTGTACAGTCTGACAGATGACGAAACAAAGGATCTCTTGAAATGTTCCATTCAGCAGCGCAGTGATAGGAGCCTGTTGCTTCGATTCCTCCTCTGTGCAGCCATAGTGTCATGCAGAGGGTGTCTGGAGTTACCCAGGATGCCTTGCATTATAGAGCCCTCATCCTTCTCCCTAGCACAGAGACACATTTTCTGATCAGCCTGTCGAGCCAGTTACTGTCTCTCAAGGTCAGACTGCCGCTCCAACACATGTGGACACATGTTCACTTGTTTGGTGGTTTTACATCCACAAATAAATAAATTTTGCCCAAAGTGAACCAGACATGATCCAGTTAAAGGTGCAGTAAGCAATTTTGTTAGCTTAGCCGTAGCACCAACTCGAAACCACTCCCCCCTCCCCCTGTCTCTCCACCAAACCAAACATCCAGCATTTTCTTTTCTCGAGGAAGTTGGTGCCTTATACATTTTTCGAGACTATAGGCATCTGGTCAATTCCATTTCTATTTGAAAACATATGACAACTTGACTACTTTTAGGGTTTAGGGAAATTGTCCCACAATATTTAAAAAAAATGCGTCTGCATCTTTAAACAGTGAAACAGACATTGTTCAGTAAAAGTGAACTAAACTAACAAGTGTGAATGCGTCCTGGATGGCCCTGAATTTGACAGTGTTCAGGAGTTCTCAAACTCTCCAATCACGCTATATCAAGAGTCTGGGGTGACTGGACTCAGATAAAGTGAAATAAATGGATGGACATAATGTTTTGTCCAACACGTGAGGACAGAAATGTAGTGAAAATGGTATTCCCGCTGGACAGCAACATAGACACTTTGATTAAAATAATAACAGTTCACACGTCCGGAAATTACTGTACATTTTGAAACTCACCTGTTTCAAAATGTTTATAATTCTCCAAGACACACACAGTAAAACAAATCTCATGTGGAGTTTTTCCATAGTATTCCATGTCTCAGCTCTTATGGGGAAAGTCACCTTAATTGCACAGGCTCCGATACTTGACCCCCACCAGTTCATTAACCCTGTAATAAACTAAGGCCTTATTCCCCCGGATCTGCTCCATTCCTCTCATTGGAAAACTATCTCCCAGAGCCGCTGCCTTCTGCCCACCACTTTATCAATTGCCTTCATAATTTTAAAAGCCTTTTTTATGTTGTTGTTTTTGCCTCATATACTAAATGGAGCCATAATTTAATATTTTAATGCATGTTAATGTGTTGTTTAACCTTCTCTCAACAATCAGGCGTCTCTGAAAGGTTAGCCTTGAACGGGGGCCAGTAGCGGACCAGACAAGCGCACAATAACACGTCAGTCTTGGAAAAACACGGCGCTCTAATGGATTGGGGCTTGATTGCGTGGGTCCATCTCACGGGCAGATGCAGTATATATTGGATAGGCATTAAAACAGGCATTTGTCCATTCTGCTTGCACCGGCTGCTCAGGGTCAGCAGAGCGCCATAGGCCACACACAATACGCTGAGTCAACGCTGGCTGCTAATTTATCTCCACTTTGATTATAGTCTCATTTAAAGCTCTTGTAGCACACAAACATTACAGCTGAAGGAAAAGTGCAATCTTGATACGGATAACAATAACATTTAAAGTCCTCCTTTGTCAAAAGAATGAATGGAAAGTTTATTAGGATTCTATATGTATAAGGTAGTGAATTCATACATTACATATACAATCAATATAATTAAATTTAGATTTGTATGGCCCTAAATCACAACAGCTGTCATCTCAGAGGGCTTCACAAAGTGGTCAATTCACCAACACAGATCAGAGAATCAATAAAACACATAGGAGCCGAGGGTCCTCAAGGAGCAGATGACCAATGTTCATAAGTTTTAAGAAATATCATGAAATTTGTCCTGGATCAACAACCTCGTCCTTAGAACCTCCTGTAACGGCAAGCAACAAATAAAAACCCCAGAAGGAAAAACCAGGGGAGGCCTAAATGGCGAGAGGGCTCTGGTTCCAAGGAATGGACAGGCTGTAGATCCAGGACACAAATATATGTCACACTGTGACACTGCCCCCATGCTCCCTCCCCCCCTGCCCCCCTGAGGTGGGGCCTGCTGAGGACACCTGGAGGAGGCAGAATACAAAGATCCAGCTCTACAGACTGATTTTACCATCTTCTTCTTGGTCAATCTTTGTTGGATCTCTTTGCACTTACCTTATTTTTGTTCTTGAAGTTAAGTTCCTGTCTGCTTCTGTAGTCTGCCACGTCGTACTTACCTTACCTCCTTCTCGAGGTAATATTACCATCAGTCCTACAGACGGCAACGCTTAAGGATTCCATAAGAAAAAGTGTCTTAGTCTATTTTGGTATAGGTTTTAGTTGATTAAAGTTAAATACAATCTAAATGTATTATAAGAAATAGAAAATACAAGGAACATAATGGGAGAAAGCCGCTTCTGCCAACTTCGGCAAGATGGTTGTGGTCCGAGGAGCAAAGACAATCAAAGATTCATAAGGCACAAGTAAATCAGAATTATAAGACTCTAAGACTAAAGACTAAAGAGCGCTTTTTGATGTCTAAGGGTTTTTAGTTGACAGTGCATTCCTTACCTTCTGTAAGGAACACACAACCCTCTGTATATCTTTATGTGTATGTATTGTCTCGCCTCCTCTAAAAATGAAGTAGAGAAAAAGTCATTCTCTTTGACAGCAGCAGCCCACTTGTTAGAGTGATAAGATATGGGGGAAACACATCACCACTGACACCAGACATAAACAAGAGGGTAGGACGATGACAGGGGGATAAAGCCGACGTGAACGAGAGAGAAAGAAGCGGGGGGAGAGAATCGTTGATACAGTACTGGTACTTCGAGGTTATGAGGCTTGAGGGCTGCAGACTGTATGTAACCTCTCTGAAGATCGGACAGCACCATCACTGGGAAAGATGAGACATGGTCAAAGGACACAATTTGGCACAGGGCAAATAACATCCTGTTAAACCAAACTACATCTCTGTCATGTTAGGAGCACAGTGACAGGCTTCCTGCTGCTTTAGTCCCATAGTCAGGACTAAAGCAATGGATAAATCAAACAAACAAACAATACATTTTTATTCATAAGGTACTTTTCATACAACAATGTGACAAAAAGTCCTTTAAAGTTAACAAAAAACATTGAGCCATAAACCTACCCACTCAACCCAAAATACCCAAAGATAGTCCTCGTCATACATCCGTCACACACAAACTCCAAAACATACTGTAATTATGGGGGTTTCTGCTGCTTACAGTATACCATCTGAGGAGCCGTCTTCATAGGAGCTGAGAGCGCAAGACCCAGAGGAGACATTAAGCTGAGGCACAGAATATCCACTAGGTCTAAATTTGATCAATAATTAAAATAGAAACATACATTCTACATTTTGGCAGAATAATGGACTATTTTACATCCCAAATGTCTATGAGTGTCTGAATCGCTTGAATGTAGTAATTAGTTCACTGAAGAATGAGGAACCCTTATTCGGCCAAGATGTATCCCAAGGACCCTCTGTCGCTCCATCCCCTGGACCCCAGTTTGAGAAACCCTGCTTTACAGGGGGAATATAGGGGTTAGGGACCAAGTTGGACCCATACATCTGTCTCCAATGCCATGGAAACCAGTCCAATATGGCCGACGTCCCGACACCCCCACTCGCCCGCTGCACTGCTCAATCAGAGGTCAGAGAAAACTTATCAATACAAGACAGAAGAACATTTAGATTAAAAAAGTCTTTTCAGGAGGGCTTATTAAATCCAGAGCTCATTTGTTGGATGTAAACCCCTGGGTGGTTCCACTAAATGTGAAAATTAAAACTGCAAATTGTCTGGGGCTTTTCTCAGTTTCAGATGTTAAATTCAATTAATGAAGAAATTAATTGGTGGAAGAATTAATTATTATCATTATAATTTGTTAATTTGTTAATTAGTGAATTGACTTGGCCACACCCGGTTTGTAACAGTATCAAAAACAACTGTACACATTTTAAGTACTTGGTTTTGCCATTTTTTAATTTGGTCAAAACATGTCTCACTTGTATTGCTTATTGCTAATGCTTAACAATTCATTCTTGACTTTTGACTCTTTGCTTCTTTCCACAACCTGTTATCAGTTTGAACAAAGCACTTGACTGAGCTTGCATTTGTTACTTAAACTGTTTTTGTTGATCGGTTTCACAGTGGCTATTGCTTCCTGTACTTTTTATGTATGTATTTGTCTGGTGCACACTCTTTTGCGCATGCATTCCAATGTGGTTTTACTGCAAATGGCAAACAAAGTGAATCTGATCTGAATCCTAACCCTAACCCTTAAATTGCATTAGAAACAATCATAGCAGCCAATACAGTATGTGGAGGCTGCTAAAAGTTTATCTAATGCGGTCTATGAAAATGTGTTTGTCCATGTACAAACCAACATGTCCTAAAAAAATTGAGAAAAAAACGGAAATCAATATTAACATGTAAGACGAGGCAAGTTTATTTGCATCGCACAATACATACACAAGGCAACTCAAAGTGTTTAACAGAATAAGATAACAACCACACAAGGCATTAAAATCATAAATGATCACAGCACATTCAAAATAGTAAATAGATAAAATCCCTCGGGTCAGGTGTATGCATGAATGTAGTACCCACCTTTATTGCTAATGAAAAACTGAAAATGATCAGATATGTGGCACAACCCTTTCTTGTCCAACCCCATAAACCTATTCGTACGTGATCATTTCCATAGTCACAGTGGAGCAAAAGAAAAGGTCTTCATAACAAGAATTGACGACTGACAACTTAATCAAGTTAATTATAGTTAGATTTGTTCCATAATGTGATATCAATCTAGCTGTGTGCAGTGTTGTCTTCTGTAGCTAGTTACAGGACGTGTGTTAGAATGATAGAGAAATAGTGGTTGTCAAGAACATTTTGTCCATAACTATGGAAATGATCACACAACAAAACAATGTATACTATTTGTAACGTGAGGTTCAGGTGTTTCAGATTTATGCAGTTAAAATCTGGAAATGTGAAACATGCTTCTACTCTGACAATGTTCAAATCCAGGTTAAAAAAATCCAGTTTCTTCATGTTTTTTCGCTGGTTTTGTTAAGCACTTTGATTTGCTGTGTGTAATAAGCGTGTATTACCTTGCTTTTTTCAATAATATCTATTGAACTGAGATTTATGATCCAACTATGATCACATTTCCTGAAACTCTCTGGTCTAGAGCACAAAGCCAGGCCATGTAAAAAGCTGAATAGCCCTACAGACATAAACAAACAGACAGACAGATAGATAGATACATTAGATAGATAGCTTAGGAATGTTCATCTTATCTTTGATTCTTCTATATTAGACAAATGTAGTGTAGGATGAATAGGCACACAGACAAACAAATAGATAGATAGATAGATAAATAGAGATAGGTTGTTGGGGTGATGCTTTGGAGGTGAAACAGTGTAAGGGCAGGAGGAGAAAAGGCCGACTGGAGCAGAGAGCGCTGGAGAGCCGACCCTGTCACACTGGATCAGTCTCATAGAGCAGGTGAAGACAGAGAAATGCCAAAGGACCAGAGCCACAACACTGAGCTCACCCAGGCAGCAGCAGCAACAGCAGCAGCAGCAGCGCATCAGACCACTGCTGCGGCAGAGAGAGCAGAGAGGAGCTGGGTAAACAAAGAGAAAGGTGACCGATAAAAAACACAAAGATTAGTTATGGAGGAAAGATGATATACAGCAGGTTAAAAACACCATCAAAACATAATAAAAGCTTTACAAAAATGCATAGCAGGCAGTTGTCACACATCAGCAGTAGATCTCACTCTAACTCAAAATATTTATTTATTCATCAGATTTCAAACTGATTAAATATAGATCTAAATATGTCTGGTTGCTGATGAAAGCTCATTTATGGAAAATATTGTTACATTTTATTTTCTAAATGTGATTTTAAAAAAACCCCAAAACTGATAGGCATAGAGCAGGCATGTCCAAACTAAGGTCTGAGGGCCAAATGCGGGTCCCCGTGTCATTTTAGTGGGAAATCATAGGATAAAGATGAAGAGATCCTTTATTCGGTCACGGTGGGAACATTTCAGTGTTGCATCTCCAGTTAGACAGTAGGAATGAGGAGCACACAGCATAAGATAAGTGTAACAAGTATAACCTCTCTAACTTTAGCAAAACAAAGAAGCAAATATAAAATACTGTATATTCTAGTGCAATACATAAATAGTTGTTTGTATGCACCTGTACATGTAGCAGCACGAGGGTATGGGGCAAAGTAAAATGGCAGGGACATATTCACAGTGTCATCCAGCCAACTCTTTTTTGATTGTATGGCACTAATATAGCTGGTGAGTACACATTTGTCATTCAGCCAACTTCATCTCTGTCAAAAGTGAACCAATACAGACAGCTCAGAACAGCCGTTTTGTGTTGTCGGCCTCTGAAAAATGTTGGTGAGCTAAAGTGGCCCTCTTATTCAAGCATTTGGACACGCCATAAAGGCACCTCCCCCTCCACTTGCATTGCATACAGCATTATTTCTACAATTACTTTTGTACTTTTTTTCGCTTACCACAGTCATTTTATTGTATTTTTTCTATCTCTATTTTAAAAACCTGCCAATCAAACTCAATAAATAATGGTTCTGACTTCATTTCCACATAGGACTGAGCAGCAGTGTATAATAGCACCTGGGAAGGACATTGTAGAAGTGTCACAGCCGCAGCCTGACAGTTCGTCCTGGAGGCCCTATTCTCCCAAACAGTGCTTTTATTAACACCCCCAAAATAACACACACACACACACACACACAAACAGCTCACCACGCACGGCACCCGGGAGGAGCCAAGCCGCGCGAGCTGCTGGAATTTTTCTCCTCTCATTTGCATTAATAAAGAGGCTGTTCCTTGTCGGGATGTGTTTTATCCAAGTCGGAAAAAAGAAAAAAAGCCTCCCTGGGCGCTCCCTTCTCGCCTCTCTGCAGAGCTCCGGGAGAATCTGCCTGTCAAATCCGACAAGAAGAATGAATCCGGATGTCAGAGCGGAGTGGCTTGCAGATGACACATTGAGAAGAACTGTCCCTCTGTCGACAGGCATGCTTCATTTTCAAATTAATAAATCTGAATAAAATTTTTAGCCTTCATTATGCGCCGGTGACAGCGCTGGGAAGGGGAGAGAGCGAGATGATTTTTTTGGTAACAGCTTGTACCAAATAATCCATGAGGGTTTTCCTTCTCTTTATGTTTATGATGCGTAGGCGTGCATGTATTTTTGTGCGTCTCTGTGTGTTTTCGGAGAGGCACGGCCCTGTTTTGTTCCCGTTGATTGTGGGGAGCGACCAAAAAAATGGGTTGTTTGCGCACATACACTCTTGCACGCAAATTCCAAAGAGGCAGGGAAGAACCAAAATAACTAACAGTCTTGATAGATGCCTCGCCTGTTCTCGCCTCACACCTGTGCAGCCATATGGAAGTACGTCTGCGCCCGGCAACAACTTTTTAATAACCAGGTTTTCAGAAAAAAGACAATTTGGAGATGGTGGTGCCACGGAAAGGGAAATGGTAATTAGGTGATGTGGCTTACACGTGCCGTGGGGAATGAGTTTATGTCGAAAACATCAAAGAGTTTGGCTGCAAGATGAGTAACAAATGTGCAGACAAAATAATACGGACTGTCAGCGAGTTTACATGGATGCCAGGGGGGAATAAACAGTTACATGACCTTGTACAGTTTAAATTGATTGTTCAAAATGCAGCAGCTGTGGTAAAGGTCTGTGGTAAAGGTCTGTGGTGCTGGTCGGGGGGTGGACGCCAGAAGGAAAGCCCATAGACTGTATTTAGATGGACATCGTTTATATACCCTAGCTCAGTGGTGTTAAGTGGATAGCACTCTCGCTTCTCAGCAAGAAGGTCCTGGGTTTGAATCCCGTTCGGAACAGGGTCTTTCTGAGTGGAGTTTGCATGTTCTCCCTGTGCCTGAGTAGGTTTCCTCCAGGTGTTCCGGTTTCCCCTACCACTAAAAACATGTACACTAGGTAAATCCTCCAGCTCCGGTTGTCATGGTTTAAGTTTATTTCCTGTTTTATTTTGAAATGGGTTATCCCTGTGTCTTCTTTGGTTGTACTTCCTGTTGTCTGATTACCTGCCCTGCCCTCATCTGTCTCACCTGTGTCTCGTTAGTCTTGTATTTAGCCCTGTGTGTTCCTTCACTCCCTGTTCCGTCATTGTCATTTCTCGTCTGTTTTATTTCGGTCCTCGTTCCCTGTGTTTTTGGATTTGTTTCATCTTTTTATTAAATCCATTATTTTTTTCAGTTTTGCATTTTGGGTCTTATTTTAATTTCACCCTCGTGACAGAATGACGGAACCACACAAGGCCCAAGCAGACTGCTTCTTTTTTTTTTCCTCTCATTTCTGGCCTTTTATCCCCAACTGGAGAGTCGCTGCAGGAGTTGGAAGCATCCCTCTCTTGTCTTTGTCCTGGACCACTGCAGGACACTTTGTTCCGTCCTGGGTGGTTGCAGACTTCCGTCCCTGACTTGGCTCCGCTGGACATCGTTTCTCCATCCAGGGGGCCTTCCGGTTTTCGTACCTGCTTCGCTCCAGTCCCCGCTCCAGCTCCTGCACCAACCCTGCGGGGTTCCAGCTCGGCGGCTCCACGTCCCGGTTTCACGTCCCGTCCCCGGTTCCACGTCCCGGCCCCACGGTTCCCGGCCCCACGTCCCGGCCCCGGCCCTTCCTGCGGTACCTCTCCTCCCTCCCTGGTTGTTTTTTTGACGTCTGGGATCCGTCCCTTGAGGAGGGGGTACTGTCATGGTTTAAGTTTATTTCCTGTTTTATTTTGAAATGTGTTATCCCTGTGTCTTCTTTGGTTGTACTTCCTGTTGTCTGATTACCTGCCCTGCCCTCATCTGTCTCACCTGCGTCTCGTTAGTCTTGTATTTAGCCCTGTGTGTTCCTTCACTCCCTGTTCCGTCATTGTCATTTCTCGTCTGTTTTATTTCGGTCCTCGTTCCCTGTGTTTTTGGATTTGTTTCATCTTTTTATTAAATCCATTATTTTTTGCAGTTTTGCATTTTGGGTCTCATTTTAATTTCACCCTCGTGACACCGGTAGTCCTGACCAAGCCGAGCATCAACATCTGGAGATGGGTTCCTGCGGGCGCTGTACCGCGGCAACCACTGCTCCTGACGTAAGCCCTAACGGCATCAGGATGGGTCTTTACCTTAGATGTGGCCCTTTGGACGTCTCTATCAGGCCCCTTTTAAGTGGGCTGGAAACAGAAGCATGTCTAAAGCTCTGAAACAGTTTTTTTTTGGTTATTTATGTTTTTTTCTCCCTGAGATGTTGCTGCAGTACAGTGTTCATGGTTTTGCACTGGTCCAAACCGGAGCGGAGGGGATCCATGGTCTGAAACAAGCAGATCAGGTGAATATCAACTGGAGGAATGCTAACTGAACTGGAATGCTAAAAAAAGGCTAATGAAGCATTCATCATCTCACTTTGGACCAAAATGGTCCGAACCAAGCGGCTCCACCTCTGCTGCTGTGTTTCTGCTGCTACTGGACACCTGAATTTCTCCTATGGGGGATCAATAAAGTATCTATCTATATCCATCTATCTATATCTAAGCCCTCCCCAGTTAATATTGATATAGTATAAAGACTATAAAATCCTTTTGTGGTATGTGCAGTGCTCTGGAGCTGCGACATATGATATTATATATATTTTTATTTAGGTGCAAAAATTATTCCAGAGAAAAACATTGTTTATCCACAACAGCAGGCTGATATTCCTATGTGGCCCCAGCTCAATAAAAGCCAATTGGGAGGTGATAATGGACAAGGTTTTGCACCTACTCGCTTTAGCTCCAATTAACTTACATTGAAAAGTAAACTCCTCGAGCTCAGTAACCGTTATTGTCACACTCACCATTTTGAGCTTTAACAATCAATGGTTTAGCACTTTCTTCAATCGTGCTGTTTATAGTGCAACATTGTCTTTGTAAATCCTCTGCAACCAAATTCAGCTTTAGCTAGGGAGGAGTATGAGTGTGGACAGACCGACGCCACTCCCGATTGGCACTTGGTAACTCGACCATTGGTATAATAATAATGCATCGGTTTTATACAACACTTTTTTGGACACCCAAAGACGCTTCACATGTCATTATTCTTTCACTCCATACACGGTGGTGATAGACTACTACTGTAGCCACAGCTGCCCTGGGGCACACTGACAGAAGCGAGGCAACCAGTATGTGCCATCATCCCCTCTGACCACCACCAACCATTCACACACACACCAGACTCATTCTAGGCAATGTGGGTGAAGTGTCTTGCCTAAGGACACAACAACAGTTTGGCACTTTACAGCCGCCCCACTGTGGCTGAAGTTCCCAGAGGTTAAGTGTCTTGCCAAGGACACAACGATACTAGTCAGTGGGAGTCGATGGTGAAAGTTGGGCTCGAACCCACGACCCTCTGGCTCAAAGGCCAATGCTCTACCAACTGAGCTACTGTTGCCCAAGTAAGTGCTGAAACAAAACATGAAAGAAACAACAAGGCATTAAAATCATGTATGATACCAACAAAATGTGCATACATTTGGCTCCACATTCTCCCTAAAATAGCCTATTCTAGCTAGCTCTATGCATCAGACGGAAAAACCCTACTGAGAAAAGCAGGTCTGAGGCATCTCAAAAGTACCGAGAAACGTGTACTCGCTGATGTGGCTACACTGAACTTGAAGAAATTTCAGCAACTGTTGGTACACAATCAGGGCATTGGTCTTTGGAACTAATGGTCATGGGTTCGACTCCCCCACGACCCATGTCATCTGCTCCCACTGACGTCTGCTGTCATTTTGTCCCTGGGCAAGACATTTAACCCCACCTTGCCGGAAGCCCCCGCTGAAACACCAAGGCCGTATCTTCGTTGGAGGAGCAGCCATCTTTCTGTGGACTGATGCTTGGTGAATTTGGAGGCAGCTCTGGTCTTTTTCAGAAGATTTTTAGAGGTGTCGCTTTTTTTATGAACATGTATTTACGTTGGTCGTCAATGTGTTTTGTCTCATAGAATTTGACTTTGTAAGGTCCTGGAAGATAACTGCTGCTGTGATTTAGGGCCATACAAAATGAATTGAACGGAATTGAATTTGATAATAGTAGATAGTTTTACTAAGACTGTACTAGTGAATTGTGCAATAGGCACCTACTGTAAAAACTTTGTTTTTTATACTGTTCATTCTAGCATTTGTTTTAGATTTGGTTGATCATAAACATCAAAATATAACGTTTCATCAGCCCAACCTACAGAAGATGATTGCTATAGAAAGGCACAGTTACTGTGCTCAACAAGTCCGGAGAATTTGATGCAAATATCATAAGGGATAAATAAATGAGACGGCTGGTGGAGTCAGGGTGCGTACAGTCACTAGTGAAAAGTGGAAGTTAGAGCTATGTGTCTAACTGTGACTTATGTGTATGACTGTGTAGGACTGTGTAACTGTGGAGGACTAGCTTAAACCATTCCAATATATTGAGGAGAGCTCAGTTAACTCATTCAAATCAAAAAACTAAAATGTTAAAAAGGTAGGACCAATATTAACCCAACGTTACAATACAAATATTTTCAGTAGATGAGTACATGCCTATGGAGGACCGTGGCTGCCAAAACAATAAATATATACAGAAATAAATAAATACATTTAAAAAAGATAAAATTTGCAAAGAAATGCATGCAATTATGAGAATAAGTGCATTTATTTCTGTATTTATTTATTTATATATTTATTTATTTATTTATATATTTATTTATTTATATATTTATTTATTTATTTATATATTTATTTATTTCTTTTTGTATTCATTCATACATTTAGGATTAGTATTTATTTAATCATCGTCGCCCTGGTACAGTGTTCAACTCCACACTTTAAAACAGGACGTCAGAAAATTGGAGAGGCTATATCGCCACTCCCACTCGGAGCCTGTCCACAGGGAGTGGAAAGCAGGTCTCCGAAACTACAAGAAATGCCCTTCGCAGGGCTCGAACTCAATACTATTCATACTTTAATAGAAGCGAATAAAAATAACAGTAGATTTTTGTTTAGCACCGTCGCTAAACTCACAAACTGCCATAGCGCAACAAGCCTAAAATTCCAAGCTCACTGAGCAGTGTCGACTTTCTCCACTTCTTTAATAATAAAATTACATCCATCCGTGACAAACTGGAGGAGGGTTACTCCTGCTGTTGGTAGTGGACAGGCTGAAGCGGCATACGTGACTTCCCACTTAGACTCTTCAGTGGGCCTCGATAAATTCATGGCTGTGAGCCAAGCAGAGGTGATCTCTGTGGTCACATCCTCAAAAGCCTCACTTGCATGTTAGACGCAGTCCCGACATGGCTCTTCAAAGACATACTTCCTTTGATAATTGAGCCTATCGTAAATATAATAAACGCATCCATACAATGTGGCTATGTCCCACAAGCTTTTAAAACCGCGGTAATCAAACCCCTTCTGAAGAAAACAAACCTGGACCCAGAAATACTTACAAACTACAGACCGATCTCAAACCTCACTTTTATATCTAAAATCCTGGAAAAACTTATAGCTGAGCAGCTTTGCTGCCACCTGCAGGAAAATAATATGTTTGAAGTCTTTCAATCAGGATTCAGAGCTCATCATAGCACTGAAACGGCACTAGTCAAAGTCACAAATGACTTACTACTAGCTGATGATAATGGACAAGTGTCAGTGCTGGTCCTACTGGACCTTAGTGCTGCATTTGACACAATAGACCACAGCATTCTACTGCAGAGGCTAGAATGTGATATAGGTCTTAGAGGAACAGCCCTTGGCTGGTTTAAATCATATTTATCAGATCGGTATCACTTCGTCAACGTAAATCAGAACTCGTCACCTTATTCTGGAGTAGAATTCGGTGTGCCGCAGGGTTCGGTACTCGGACCGATTCTTTTCACTCTCTACATGCTGCCGTTAGGAAACATTATTAAAAAGCATGGAATTAATTTTCACTGCTATGCAGATGACACACAGCTTTATCTGTCGATGAAGCCAAATCAGACAGATCAGCTAGAAAAGTTCAGTGCCTGCATAAAGGACCTTAAAATGTGGATGACTCTTAACTTCCTACTTCTCAACCCGGAGAAGACAGAAGTGATCCTACTCGGTCCGAAGCGCTTGCGTGACTCCCTCACTAACCAGATAATTACTCTCGATAATGTCAGTATTATACCCAGTAACACTGTGAGGAATCTTGGAGTCATTTTTGACCAAGAACTCTCCTTCAAGGCTTATATAAGCCAAGCAACTAAAACGGCGTACTTCCACTTACGGAACATCGCTAATATGAGGAATTTCCCTCCTAAAAGTGACGCGGAAAAACTTATTCACGCGTTTGTCACCTCAAGGCTCGACTAATGTAACGCTTTACTGGCAGCGTGCCCTAAAGCCTCTTTGAAGAGCTTACAGCTCGTTCAAAATACAGCAGCTAGGATCTTAACAGGTACCAAAAGGAGGGAGCACATAACTCCGGTGTTAAAATCACTCCACTGGCTTCCTGTGGAGTACAGAATAAAGTTTAAAATCTTTGTCTTAACATATAAAGCCATAAATGGCTTGGCTCCTTCTTATCTCCAAGACACGTTAGTGTCGTATCAACCAAGTCGAGCGTTGCGCTCACAAAACGCCAGACGTCTGGTGGTGCCTAAGGTCTCAAAAATCACTGTTAGCGGCAGAGCATTTAGCTACCAAGCTCCTTTACTGTGGAATCAGCTTCCCATTTATGTTAAGGAAGCAGATACGGTCTCCACATTCAAGGCCAGGCTTAAAGCACTCTACTTTAATTTAGCATATAATTAGGTAATATATAATATATGGTGTATATATTATATATATATGCTGTATTATGTTATATATTATGTTATATATTATACAATATATGTATTATATGTATTGTGTTATGTTGTATATTATGTTATATATTATGCTGTATGTTATGTTGTGTATTATATATGATATATATGGTATGTATGGTATATATGATGTACATGATATATAATATATAATTAGGTTTGCTTGGATCGGTTTGCACAACTGGTGTGCAATCCATGAATCTTGGTGCTGTAACCTAGACTAGCCTAGCCTTGGCTGCTGCTGCTGTCTCGCCTCCTTTCAGATACGCTCTCTTTATTCAAGGCTAGGTTTAAAACAGTCCTCTTTAGTTTAGCATATGGCTAGGAAGGTAATTAAGACTCAGGGAAGGCTAAACTCCTCAGAGTGTCAGTCAAGCTGCATAGGGAGTCAGTTTGCTGGGAGAAGTATGGTAACTTGAGCACTATCCTCTCCTCCTTCCTACTTTATCTGTTTAGCATTTTTAAGATTTTGACTGTAGTTTGTTCATTGCTATTCACCCGTTGTCCCATTGTCTGTTTCATGGTACGATGACGGGATCTCTGAGCCTGGCCTCCTCCATCTACACTTGCGGACTGCCCTGCCCGACCCGCCTGGGAGTACTTCAGTCCTGCACCGGACCTGTCCACGTTCAGCGGCCACTGGTCCACGTCCTGTAGCTAGCTTAGGTCCTAGATCATTAGCCTGTCCGTCCGGAGGAGCGGATCCCTTTCTCATATGGGTCTCCCTCCCTGTGGGTTTCCCTAGTTCTCCCCAAGGTTTCTCACTTTTTCCCACTGGGTTTTTTAAAGAGTTTTTCCTTGTCGATGCAGGAGGGTCTTGTTGGACAGTTAGTGTCCAACAGAAAGGATTGGTGATGATCAGGACACTTTAACATTCTACAACATGTATGGACATTTTCTTCTGTGTGTGCTTTATATTTTTCATGCGTTTTAATTGTTGATTCTCTGACCTGTGTTGGTGATTTCAATGGTTTTGTTAAGTCTTCTGAGATGACTTCTGTTGTGACCTAGGGCTATACAAGAATAAATTGTATTGTATTGTATTGTATTGTATAATTTCACTCAGAATGCCGCACACAGAGGGCAACAGAGCAGGTAGGCCCTCTGGGAATTCAAGTTTTAAAAGTATACGTGCGTAACCGCGGGGCACTTGCTGTTGTTTGCTGTATATGAACTGAAGTCCGCATCCTGGCCGCTAATAACAACACGGGGGAACGGCGCCGTGGTAACGTGGTCATATCCAAGACCATACACGCACAGAACTAATCTCTGCATGTTGTGTGCGTGTTTTTGCGCAACCTGTGAGTAGCTGTGCAGCAATAAATACACAGCTGAAGCTGAACTCAGAAAGTGTCTCATCCTGTCTTCTCCTGAATCGCAACTAAACTCGCCAAATTAAAGTGGGGGTACGTACATTTTCCCTTTTATTGATAGCTCATGTTGGTTGTGCCCAAAAGTAAAAGGTTGTGAGCAAATCAAACAGATCAATCAATCAATCCTTTATTATCTCACACAGATGGAGAAATTCAGTTCGATGAATAAACATCAAGGCCGGCCGCGTACTCTAATTTTCCGCGCTCCTTATGATTCAAGTACATTTGGTATGAATGACAATGTGTCATTACATTTGATAATCTCATTTAACTACAATTGGAGTGGATTTGAAATAGAATGTTTAAAATGTGATAAATCGTGAGTTAACTCACCATTACTATGCGATTAATCAACTAAAACATTTTAATCGTTTGAGAGCCCTGATAAATATACATACATACATACGCATTTAATTATTTATATGAGTGAAGCTGTGACTGCTGATGCGTATCCAGAATGATCCATTCTACCACCTTATTCCACTATATAAATTATTGATTGAAGTTATGGATGCTATGGGCTCTATGCACGTACCACTTCCTTGACTTCCTCGGGGATCGGCTTTAGTTTCATGGAGTTCACCCAGTGGGGGCGGGTCCCGGCTCAAAAGTGGCCAAAATGACGTGTGCTGACATGCTTGCAATACCACCCCGGGCCGATGGGGGTGGACCCAGAAGTAGAATTAGCCAATGCTAACATATAGAATTGGCAGACCTCTCAAAAACGTCTTTACAGGATGGTCCAAAAGTTGGCACTTGGCCCACTAGACCACTCTAGTTTACTTGCTGTGAATTTTTGAAGTCTCTCGTTCAAATGAATGGAGCTCTCGCCGGCTGACGCATGCGCAGATGCGTTTTTTCACAATTTTCTTGTGGGCGGGACCACTCGCGGCCATTTTGGATAGCTCCAGTAGTGCACATTTTTTGGCCCATTAGTTAGAACGGCAGAGATAGGCGTGACTCTGTCCGTTAATATATACAGTCTATGAGTTCATCAGATGTTTACTCTAGTTTCGTGAGGATGCTGGGCATTTTTAGGACACAGCAGTGCTCTTTGATTGTGCTGTCATTGTGCTTTTATAAAGTTGAAAAATCTTTCTGAGTGGCCACAGTCAAAGCTGTACCTCAGAGAGAAAGCACGTCAACACTTTTAGGTCAGTCTTACAGCTGAATGTATCAATCTAGTTACTAAAA